CTCTAAAGTGACAAAAGCTTTCTTTTTCACACTATTTTTTTCTAACCCTCATCAAGATTTCCTTTAGCAGGTATATTTCTATTGATAGTCTTTCCCAAGAAATCTAGCCTTTTCTCTCATACACTCTAAAATTCTTCCAGCCTGTACATGTCTCCTATTCCAAATCCACTGTTACAGTTTCTGGTATTTGTTAAAGCAGCAGCCCACCTCCTGGTACCAGAATCTGTATTGATTTCTAGAATTGTAACAACAAATGACCACAAACTAGATGGCTTTAAACAATAGAAATGTATCTTCTCACAGTTCTAGAGGCCAGTGTCCAAACACCAAGATGTTAGTGTTCTTGCTTCTTTTGGCAGTCCCTGATAGCCCGCTCTCTGCTTTCCTAACTTCTGAGCATACCTTGGTTTTCAAATATCACTCCAATCTCTGCCTCCATCTACAATCACCCTCTCCTCTGTGTCTTTATCTCTCAAATCTTCCTGCTCTTCCTACTTATAGAGAGGGCTATTATTGGGTTTAAGGCCCTTCTTAAATTCAGGATGACCTTATTTCAAATTCCTAATTTAATTACACTTACAAAGATCTTTATTCAAATAAGGTCACTTTGAAAAGTTATAGGAATTACTCTTGGATATATCTTTTGGAGGTATACTATTCAACCACTAAAGCCTGCCCTCTAGGTTTCCAAAATTATGTCTGCCTATCACAAAATACATTCACTTCTTAATATTTCCAAAATATCTCTGCTTATTATAACATCAGATGGCAGAACCCTGATAAGAGAGCCTAATAGAAGGTGGTTAGGGTCCTTGGCCCTTCCTCTGTATGCTTCCTAGCTGCTATGAGATAAGTTGTACCTTACAACTGACCATTGACTGACTATGAGGCCAAATACAAACTGTCTCCTTTTAAGTTGGTTTTCTTATGTGTTTTTGTCACAATGATGAAAAACTAACACAAAGAGATCACTGGCTCCAAATTTGAAATGCAGTATGACAAACTAAACTGAGTTTCAAGACTTAAGCATGATTGTCTGTGGCTTGATATAGGCAAATTCCTATCTATAAATCCTAACCTCTCAATGTAATGGCATTAGGAGGTAGGGCCTTTGGCATTAGGAATCCTCATGCATAGGGTTAATGCCATTATAAAAGAGACTCTGAAACCTCTCCTCTGGCAGTGTGTGGATAGTTGTCCATGCTGCAGGGAGTAGGCCCTAACCAGATGTGGGATTCTGACAGCAGCTCTAGTTTGGATTTGTTTTCCAGCATTGTGAGAAGTTTTTGTTGTTTATAAAACATCCAATTTAAGGCAATTTGTTACCGACACATGAAGGGAGCAAGACAAACCTCTACCTGCTTGTACCGCAGCTCCAGCCTCTAGGCTTACATCAATTGGCTACATCAGTCTCTAGGCCTAGGCCAGTAGTGCACTCAACTTCTAGGCCTCCGCATCACTCTTGCTAGCCCTACCCTTGACGCCATTCTTCCTTTCTCTGTCAGAGTAGCTCAGATTTGCAGGTGATGAGCTCTATCAGTGGGATTTTCTGCCTGTGGAATCCTGGAACTCATGACTCAGGGTTTTCTTTTATGAATTCCAAGATTTATATCCTGTTAAGAAGACTTCTCCACTGCAAAAAGTATAAATATCATTCCACATTTCCCTTCTGTGCTTTACAATTCTGTTTTTTTGAAAATGACCATTCCTCCTGCTTTGTAATTTTTGTGCACCATTTCATGATGACATGAAAGTTCTTTCCCAGTCCATAGACAGTAACTTAGCAGCACTGATTGATCAGTACATTATTCATGATAGATCAGTTTATCATATATGTGCATATTTGATTTAATGCTATTTTTACAAAATTTTTCATCTCTCCACATGCACATACGTAGTAGTGTACAATTTCTACTTTCCTCCAATCCAATACAGTAGACTCTACTTTTCACTAAGGGGGCCCACTACTTAGTTATCCTGGTATATATGGGTTATTTACTATGCAAATGGTCATTCTTCATTTATTTAGTATTGTGGAGGAAGTTTGAGACTCATTCCCCACTTCAGAGAATCCGAGTAGACTACGGGAATGATTGTCAAGGCAGGATATCAGGAAAGCACCTCCATAGGGACTTCATGATAATGATTCTCCTACAGAGTTGATTCAGTTTTGTGTTTCTTTCCAGTAACACGTCAATCTCTCCATTAAATGGGGCACATGTGTACTAAATTCCTGTAAGTATCATGGGTGCATTTCAGAAATCTAGGCTCTGCAATATTATGTGTACTTTCCTGCATTGATATCCCATTGTTACTGCTGAAGCTTTATGCTTTAATATATTACAATAAAACACATTCTCAAAAAGACTTTGACCATTTTTACTTTCTTATTTTTCCAGATGATCTTTCAGAAAAGCCTGTCAAGTCTGCTTTAAGAATTTTCATTGGGTTTATGCTAACTACCTGTTTTACTAGGTGATTTGAAGAAACTGTCACGATGCAACATTTTTCTTCCCAACCAGGTTTCTAGTGTACTTATTCAGACATTTTTGATATTCTTTAGTTATTTTTTTTCAAGTTTGCTTGGGGGTTTATTACTAGTCCTAGATTTAATTGTTTTAGGTTATGGCTATATAATATATTTGCATAGTACTTTCCTCTAACAGGAAGGCCATGGACAGATGCCTTCTTCCCAAACTTGGTTGCACCTGCTTGTCTAGGATCATCCCAGCTAAGCTTGTTGACTGTCACCCCTGTATGGAAGGAGGGGCAGGGAGAGGCAGCCGCACCTTCCAACCAACCAGTCAGCCCTAGTTGCACTAGGGAGAGAGGTTAAGAGTATATAAACTGAGGAAGCCAAGGGGAGGGGCGCTCAGCATTTTGTGTGACTGTGGGAAGTAATGATCCATGCCTGGATGGAAACTTTCCAGTGTGGCCTTAGGAGGGGAGCACCTACACATCTGTAAGAAAACCTTCACCCATGCTTTGTAAGTAAGTCCAATAAACTCACTGGCTTCCCAGATTGCAGTTTGCTTGATTTGTTGTGGGGACTAAGGGACGAGAGGGTTGGGCATCATTTGCACCTCCCAGAAGGAATTTTAGCTATATATGTAAAAAGGCGGGGAGGGAGAAACTCACTGTGTAGCACAAGAGGGCTTCAAACTATCAATCCTCCTGCCTTAGCTTCCCAAATGCTGGATTACAGCAGCTTCAAGTAATACCTTTTTTAAAAACTATTTATTATTTTTATTTTGCGTGTATGAGTGTATTGCCTGCATGTAGGTAAGTGCACCCATGTCGTGCAATGCCTGCAGAGGACAGAAGAGGCCGTCAGATCCCCTGGAACTAGAGTTACAGTTGTTAGCTACCATGTGGGTGCTGGGATTTGAACCGGGTCTTCTGCAATAATAACCAGTGTTCTTAACTGCTGAGCCATCTCTCTAGCCCATCAAGTAATACCTTTTAAAAGCACTCATATTGGTAAAGTTTCCTAATTTTTTAGTACTAAAAATTAAAATGCCTTAATATTGTCTTTGAATTTTAATGAACAAACACAGAAATTTAGGTTAAAAATATACCTTCAGAACTGCAAAAATCACCCAATAGTTCAAGTGAGAAGCCTAACATCAATTTGAATATTGCTTCTTTAAATCTATCTTGTTTATGCTTTACCCTTGGAAACTCTTGGGGCTCTTTTCTAGTTTCTTGGACACGAGAAATTTCATACAGTGTCCCTAGCCACACAACTCCACATATATATGGTGAGACCATACTGGCTTTCCTTAAAAGAAATGAGTATCTTCTTATAATACAAAGCTAAGGTTATTTGAAAGGCCAATCACAAGGAGAGAAGATGAAAAGTTAATGTAAAAACAGAAAGGCATTGCAATGCCACCTGAAATCTACTACCACAGGATAGCAGGTAACTACAGCAAAATATCTAATGTGAACATTAGAGAGATCAGAAAGTTTGCTTTCCACAGAATACAGTATACCGAACATTTGAACCCAGTTGCATATTTGCCTATGAATAGGATGCCTGGAGGGAATGCTAAAATGAAGGGAAAGAGCATAATTAAGAATCCAAGATGGAGGTGGGGGTTGGAGAGATGGCCCAGTGGTTAAGAGCACTGGCTGCTCTTGCAGAAGACCCAGATTCGAATCCTAGCATCTACATGGCAGCTGACAACAATCCATAACTCTAGTTCCAGGGGATTCAATGCCCTCTTCTGGCATCTGCAGGCACTGCACAGCATGGGCACACTTACATACATGCAAGCACAACATTTATACACATAAAAATAAATTTAAAATTTTATAAAAAGAATCTAAAATTGGTCTCCAAATAGATTGTGACAGCTGTCTCAAGACATGTTTGCTGTACTTTGCTGTATCCTCATAATCATCCCAATGGCTGTTAAATGTTTGAGAGTTCAGAAAGCAGGAGGAGGTGCATGATTGCCCAGGCTGCTTGCTGTAGCTTAGTCTGGGCACTTGTGGACTTGTGACATAGGGGAGTGTGTGTGTTGGTAGAACAAGTGGTTTTATAACTAGTGTTTCCTCAAAACGAACTATTTAGTTATGCAACATACTGAAAAATCTGAAATCTTGCAGAACCTGCATTACTGTAAAAGCTACAAGGCTCATAAAATCAAAGGAGCTAGGCTAAGACAACCAGTCAGGAAGTCTCTGCCAATTCATTATCTCCTTCCTCAACTTAAGATGTGCTCTAACATACCTGATTAGGATGTAGAAAGCCAATGGGTCAAACTGTGTCTTCAACTCTTATCAAATTCAAAGACAAAATAACTGTTTATTTTTATTTCATTTCATTGCATTTTAAAATGGAATAACCTATAATTCATTCTGTTACAAAGGAACATGGCTGAACAGATCGGAAACAGATTCCCTATTGTGAGTTCTCCAGATGACTTCTGAAAGAATCTTAGAGCTATCACCAGGATTTTGGAGCAATGCTTCATCTTGACCTTCTGAGGCAGGGTATTAGTGACTACAATTGCTTCAAGGCATGCACATTGAGCAATGACTGGGCCAGAAAAGATTTCATGAGCCAAAAAGGATACACTCTTGTGGCTCCGACTGAGAAAAGTTTGTCACTTGCATGGGAGATTGTACTACGTTTATCAGTCATGTCATTCACAAGGATAGCCACTTGATCCTTCACATCATCCACTAACACCATGTGGTCCAGGTCATTGACCTTTATCCATTGCCTGTGAATCAAGGCAAAATCCACATTCAAATGATCTGCAATGGAAGTGACTCTCTTGGCTCCACCAGCATCTGGTGAGACACTGGTGCAGTTTCTCAATTCAGAAACAGTCTCTCGTATTCATATCAGGACAGCCGGCTCTGCATATAAAATGTCTACTGGAATATCAAAAAAGGTCTGGATCTGAGAAGCATGTAGGTCCGTGGTGATGATGTAATCTGCACCTGCTATATAGACAGCATATTTGCAACAAGCTCCGCAGAGATGGGCTCCCTGCTCTTGTCTTCCTGGGGAAGCACAGGATGACTACGGTAACCTGGCTGGCTGAAGTGATCTTGCAGGCATTAATCATGATCAGACAGACACTCCGTTAAACCATCACTGATCTCCCACAACCGCTCTGAACTGTGTACATACCCTTTCTGCGCACACTCTCACACCCATTTTCATGCAGGTCTCCTAGTTGCTGAATTTCTTGGTCACCACCTTGCCTAGCTCCAGGCCCAGGCAGTTGGTGAATCTGGGATAAGTCCTGCTGGGAACTGCCGTTGAAGGTTTTGATGCTCCGTATTTTGATCAAAATGGTCCCAGGAACAACTTGTCCAGGCTTTACCAGATTGGAGTGGGAGTCTCACCACAGGACTAACAGCTTCCAGTTATTGCTCTTTCAGTTGTAATAGCCGTTACTGTCCCTTCTGCCACGTGTCTTCTGAAAACAAGACAAACAACAACAACAAAAAAACAAAAAAAAACAAAAAAAAACCAAACTTGATTGGGATTCTTTTTACATTCTCAGGGAGTCAAGATTTTCTAGTTCATGGAAAATTTACTGTTGTGTCTAATTTCTTGGGAATACTTAAATTTGAATACATTAAAACATAAAACAAGTCCAGATAGAAAGTTTGAGGCTGCAGAAAATATGTGCAAAATGTTGTTTTAGATCATTTCTTCAAGTGAAGAAAGACAAAAAAATTGTAAAATGGCATAAATAAGCAATTTACATTGAAAACAAAGTGACCAATCAATATTTTAAAATACTAATAATTGAGAAACTGCTGATTATTTTAGCACATCAACCAGGCCAAAATTATAAAATAGTATTTTCTAATAGAATGTGCCAACATGTAGATTTTTATGAGGGTAATTTGAATGCATATTTTGGCTTCTTAGGGCTACTTTTGGGGATCCATTACAAAGAAAAGTTTGCAATATCTTGATAATTGTGGTGTTACTGTATTTGTTCATTCAATACCTATTCTGTAAACAACTTCTGTGTTTCCATTGTCATAGTTCTGCAGATGTGTCCAATTTGCAGCCCACAGACCTCATGCATCCTGGGCCAGCTGTGAATGGAGCTCAACACATGTGCAGATGGCAATGTCATGAGGCAGTGTCTGAGTCTGACACCTCTGTCAGAGGAGAAGATGATGAATGACAGATACTAACTACCATAGGCATGTTTATAAAAGCCAAATCTGGAAATCAGAAAATATTCACCAATAAGTAATTATCAAGGAATTTATCATACATAGAAGAGACTGATTCAGGTGTAATTACATGGAAATGTCTCCAAGAGATTTTCAGAGATCAAAGTCAATGACATGAATATGTATGGTATTATATATTTAAAATTGGGTAATAGTGAAAGTATTAAATAAATATGAATGTCCGGTTTGAAATGATTATCTTTTGAGAGGAGCAAAGACTGAAGGAGTTGAGAATGAAAGGCTGTTACTATTTCTGCCATCTCTTCCTGTGCTACTGAACACTATTATTTTTGGTCATGAAGCATTTGCTGGAAAAGTTAAGTACAGAGCTTCCATAATGTACTGGGCATTTGAGTGCTGGGGCAAGAAATGGAAAGGCTCACAGATATCAAGAGTTTTAACAATGAAATTGCTGTTTCATAAAAAGAATGGAGCTATGAATTGAAGATCATACATTCACATCTTGCTAATTGTGTGCTTGACAGTTGGAAATGGAGATTGTTTAGACTAAAACAAAATAACCATGCATATTTTGATTTATTTATTTTTATTTTATGTGTACAAGTGTATTGCCTGCATGTATGTAAGTGCACCTGTGTTGTGCAGTGGAAGTGGAGGACAGAAGAAGGTGGAACTGGAACTGGAGATACTGGATGGTTGTTAGCCACCACGTGGGTGCTGGGATTCAATCCAGGGTCTTTTCCTAGAACAATCAGTGTGCTTAACCACTGAGCCACTTCTCCAGCCCTACCTTGCATATTTTGAAATTAGCAAAAATTGTTTAATATACTCAACTTGTGAGCTTTCTTGGTGGCTGGGTTCATGGATAGGCTAGGTTTAGAAATGCAGTAAGAAAGGGCAACAGGCAACAGCTATGAGCAAACTTCAACAATGTCCATGAAACACATTACTTGTCTAAAAATCTACTTTATATATTCAATGAGTTATTATTATAAAGCCGTATAAACAGCTAAAAATGCACATGTTAAAAATGCTACATCAGGGGCTGGAGAGATGACTCAGGGGTAAGAGCACTGACTACTCTTGCAGAGGATTTGGTTTTGATACCCAGCACCCACACGGCAGCTAACACCCATCCGTAACTCCAGTTCCAGGGGAATCTGACACCCTCTTCTGACCCCTGTGGGCATTGCATGACATGGGTACACTTAGGTACATGCAAACAATACACTAATACATATAAAATAAAAATAATAAATATTTTTAAAATGCCACATCAAAATAATGTACTAATGATCCAATTACATCTCTCTTAATATGAACATACATTTTCTTTTCAGTTCATATTCTTCATGGCTGACAGTGCATGTCAGCTACATGCCAGTGCATGTTCACAACCCTTCATTCATATTCTTCCTTAAAAATACCAACAGAATCACCAGAGTCAAACAATTCATCCTAAGCCAGTTATATACAGTGATTTGCACAGAAAATTCTGTACCTTAATTTAGAAGCACTAAAAAGTACTTGCAGCTTCAATTAAATTGATTTTTCTTTTAGCTTTCTCAGTGTGACACATATTTTCAAGTTTTTAATGAAAAACAAAACAGATTTTTAAATAGATTTAATATTATTCAAATAGACTTAATGTTAATGTAAACATTAAAATCTATAGCTAGTTGTATTTTTCTTGAGGCGTTAAGTAGGAGATATTTTTGTCTTGCTGTTAATTTTGCTCCAAGATCTGGCTGTTGCTATACCTCATAGTTCCAGAGCTTCATCTGGAATTATATGTTAAATATAGAAATGGCCTTAGCGAGTACCCAGTCATAGAGATGTCCCCATTCACTGAGATCCAGAGAAATGAAGCCATTGATGATGTTCTGATTTATCAGAGATCACTGTGCATTAGACGGTGGGATTCCCGAACTTCTAAGAATGGCTTTTATTGCTGTCACTGCAGGACTCGTCTCTCTACCCCCAGTATTTACTTGCATGAAATTTTCTTACCAAGTGACTACAAGAACAAATATGAAACTGAATATTTTTGCTTAAACCAACCTCCAACATTTCCAGAAAGAAAGAAATCATCAGATTATCTTTGTTAGTCTGACTTTTCTTTTACTTGATCTATTGGAAGGAGTTTTCAAACTGTTTACTTTGTTCTGTGGATTGAGTGAGACAATTGTCTTAGCATTGACTGCCTTTGGTAAAAGTTACCGGTAGGGATGCTTCCTATTGAACAGCACATTCTTTGTATTTGAGGTATTGTTTCTTAATAAATTGCTCTAGAAATGAAAATTATGATAGGGATAAAAAGCTCCATTTTTCTGCTTCCCAAAGCAAGCTTGTTCAAATGTCATGTCTACAGATCTATGAGAACTGTTGTGTTTTGAAGGTCTTCTGAGTCAACCAGAATATATGTATTTCCTTGGTAGTAGTTTCTTGCTTTACTGATCATTCTTTTATCCTTCACAATTCCAACATAAATAATTCAAAGACAGCTCTGATGCAGCCTGATCAGTTAAAGAGAAAAGAAATCCAAGCAGTTCTTTCAGAAAGCAAAGGAAAATGGTTGTATTTTAAGTTAAATAAATGCTTTCACTAAACACACTTTCAGTTGACAAAATGCTAGATGTTTAGGTGGCAATTATAGTTCTTTGATAAACTGTCAAATCCTGTCACAACACATGTTATAAACAAGGACAGATTTAGATGTCCTTTATGACAGCTTTGTGTAGGTTGGGAATGTGTGGCAGTTAATTTCAAGCAAGGAACATATTTTTCTTTCCAACCCTTACCTGCTTGTTTATTGGGAAGGATTTCTTTGAGGCTTTAATCTTATTCATTTGATGCACAGTTCCAGATATTACTGTACCATTACCTTCCCTCATTTATTTTCTTCATAATAATCACCCACAGTACTCTGAGAAAACAGTTTCTCATGGAGATTCACATTTGGACTAAATACTTTAAAGTTTGTTTTGTGATTGTTTACAATTGAAATAGACTACAGTGTGTGTTTATCAAGCTTTTTTGGCTAGGAATCTGTCATCTTATATAATAGCTGTGTAGATAACAGGTAAATAAGGCTGAAGGAAACAAATTGGAGCTGGAAGAAACTGTGTGCTTCAGAAATATGTCTTTGGTTCTTAGTGTTACTGTAGACTTGTGGAGGTATTTTTGAAGTGTACTTGGAGTTTCTTTTAAAAGTCTGGTAAATTGAACAATACAAGTATAAAATAATAATCTTGGAGGAACAATGAGGCTCCATGAGCTGAATAATGATCATTGTAGTGACAGACAAGGGAGTATGTAAAAAGATCCCATAACTATGACATTGTAAATAATAAAATATCCTCCTGGTATTTATGTAAAATAATTTGAAGTATTTTAAAGAGGGTTCTGTGATAACATTTACTTTTTCATGTAGAATCTGTTTTATAGAATTAATAAAAATGTGTTAATTACATTTTAAGAAAATACAAACTCAATTTATGCTTTTGAAATCTCTTACCTTAAAGATACACTTTCTTGATGCTTCAAAAGGCAAAGAGGACGCTCACCTATGAAAAAGCCAAGCACTATCACAAGGAATGCAAGCAGATGTATGGAACTGAGATTTGAATGGCTAAGGCGGCAGGAAAAGCTAGCACCTTCTGTGAGCTTGCAGAACCCAAATTACATTTGTCATCAGAATCAGAGTTATCACTATGGTGTCATCTGCATGAGGGATCTGATTTATGAGATCTGCACTGTTGGACAACTCTTTAAGGAAGCAATAACTTCCTGTGGCTCCTTAAATTTTCTTCTCTTTGAGGTCAATGAAGGAAAAGACAACCTCTTCTACGGAAAGTGAAGATGTTGGCAACAGGGAAGATCAGATCAATGGGCTTCTTAGAAGGATGAACTAAGGTATCTCCCACCACATTTTTGTAATCTGGTCAGTTAATAAACATAACTGCTTGACAAACTGAAAAAAAATGTACTTTTCCCCCTCAATAGTAAACATTTATTCATCTTGTGATTTTTTTCTTTGGTTGGGGTTGGTTGGTTGGTTTTTTTTTTTTTTTTTTTTTTTTTTGGTCTTTTTGAGACAGGGTCTCTCTGTAGCCCCAGCTGGCCTGGCACTCACTATGTAGACCAGGCTGGCCTTGAATTCACAGAGATCCACCTGCCTCTGCCTCCTAAGTGCTGGGATTAAAGGCATGCACTACCATTCCCAGCCTCGTCTTGATTTTTTTTTTTTTTTTTTTAAGCATTGGGATCAGCCATGCATTCAGGTAAGTGAATACTGCCTGCAATGTGTAGGATGATTCTGTGTTCTCCAGCTCCAGAGGAATCAGGGCTGCTTGGAGGACTTGTTAGGATGCAGATTCCCAGCTTCTAAGCAGTCCTGGAGTTTGTGTTTCTAACCCGATGCTAGGTGATGCCCATGCTGTCCTTCTGGTGACCATATTTCCGAGAATCTGTTTCTCTGGAATTTCAACTTTATTAGCTAGGTGCTTTCCATAGCATTTCGTATTGTGTGTTACTGTTTACAGAGTCATTGGCCTCCTTAGACTTGTCATAACTGACATTAGATTCTTGTAATAACATCAACATAAATCTGCTATATCAATCTTATGTCTTCCTCCACTTCCCACAAACCCCATTGAAGTCTGAGGTGCTCCATAAACTGCTTCTTTCTAACTTTGTTCACTTCAAGATTGCTTTTATTACTTACTTTCATCCCTTCTTGAGTTATTTGCTGTTCCTTTTCTGACTTCTTGAGATGTAGGCTTAGCTTGCTATTTATCACCGTGGAAAGCTGTGCACATCTCTACGTATTGTTTCATCCCAAGACTTTTGCTGTGTTGGGGACTCAACCAGAAGCCTCAGGCTCGCTAGACAAGCACTCTATCTCTAAGCCAAATCTCAGTCTAACCGAATAATAGAAGTTTGTTTTTGTTTGCTTGGAATTTTGCTGCTGTTGTTTGTTTGTTTTTGAGACAAAAATCTCACCCTGCAGCACAGGCTAGCCTCAAACTCATGGCAGACTTCCTGCTTTGGCCTACTGAGTGAGTTTGTTTTCATTTGTGTTTGGAATAGGATCTGCTATTTTTCCCAGGTCAGTCTTGAATATGTTGGCTCAAGCTAGCCTCTTGTCTGGTCTCCACAGTGCTGCAATACTGGAACTATATGCTTACAACACTACACCCAGCGAAATTTTATATGTAGTGTTTTGGTAACATTTCTAATATTGTTCAGATAAAACTGTCTTTGAATTTTGATGGCACCTTATTCTTTGTTTCAGGAATTTAAATGTCCCCTTTCTCTTTCTCCCCTTCCATCCATCCCTCTTCTCTCTCTCCCTCCCTTTCTCCCTTCCTGCTTTCTTCCCTTCTGTCTTTGACAGGTCTCACTCTAGGCCACCCTCAAACTTTTGATTCTTCTACTTCTGTCCCCTAAGCACTAGGCTTACAGGCCTGGACCATTATGGCCATTCACCCCCATTTTTCTTCTTTTTTTTAAAGACTTATTTTATTTCTAATTGTGTGTTTGTGTGTGGGGGGGTTGTAAATGCACATACACGCTATTGACCACTGAGCTATCTCTCCAGTCCTGCAGTGTGTGTGTGTGTGTGTGTGTGTGTGTGTGTGTGTGTGGTGTGTATGTGTGTGTATGGGTAAGTGCACATATGCGCTTTTGACCACTGAGCTATCTCTCCAGTCCTGCACCTCCTCCCTCCTTCGTCATTCCTTCCTTCCTCCTCCTCTGTCTGCAGATTTAATGTTATTTGTGTAGGTCTGTAGCTTTTTTAAGTGATTACATTTTAAATCTGTTTTCTTGAATCTGTGTATTAGTGCTTTTTTAAAAAATCAGGTATGCAAGCATCCTCATGATTTGTCTCTTTAACTATTTCCTCCTTTCATTTGATATTCCAATGAAACATGATACGTCTTTCAGTTCTGTTTTCCATGAACCTGTCTTTCATGGTTTTTCTCCCCTTCCCTTTGTTTTCTTTGTAAGTCTTTCTGGGCTGCATTCTGCATCCTTTCATCAGACCTGTGTTCAGTTTACTTATCCTTTTCTTTAAAAAAAATGTGTGTGTGTGTGTGTGTGTGTGTGTGTGTACACACACACACACACACACACACACACACACATACACACCCCACAGCAGGACTACAAATGTCAGAGGACAACTTTGCGGAGTTGTTTTCTCCTTCCACCTTTACATAGGTTCCAGGGATCAAACTCAGGTTTCCAGGGTTAAGCGGAGCCATCTCACTGGCCTTGCTAGTTCTCTTCACTCGGATCTGCTATGCTGTCAACCCAACTTACTGAGTTTTGCATTTTAGTTGCTGTAGTTTTCACTTGGAAGGCATTTTATTGAGTGCTTTTGCAGTTTTGCTGCGGGCAGATATCTTCGAATTTGTTCTTGTTTGACATGCTTTTAAAAAACATAGTATGAGCTGTGTCTGATAATCCCAATCTGAACATTTTAGAATATGCACTTTTTTTCTTTCCCATGATAACTTTTCTCCACTTTGGTCTTTGTCTATGTTTAGATCTGTACTGTCATGCTAGTAGAAATTTGAAGAAATTGTTTGAATTTGAAAATGAAAGTTTCATCTTTCAGAAAGAACTTCCTTCTGAGTCTTGCTTGTACTATTAGCTCGATACCACCTTAAGTCAGTAGAGTGCTCTAATTTCCTAAGATTGTCCAGGTGATATGCCCCAGATTCAGAAGTACCCATGGGAGCTCAAGGTCACACTTCACAGAGATCCCCTCTTCTCTCTCCGTACCATTTCCATCTTGCCTCTGCTGTGCTTACTGTTATCCTGCTGTGGACTGGGGGTGAGGGGTTTCTTCTGCTTCACAATGGCCATGAAGACAGAAAGCTCACAGGACCTAATTTAATGGGTTGAAGTTTCCCTCTAGACTCCAAACTTTGAGTAGACCCTAGGTCTTAACATCTACAACCCTTAGTCAATGACAGCTTTTAAAATTTTTTATTCAGTTTTTATTTATTTATTTATTTATTTATTATTTATTTGTTTTATGTTATCTGAGTATTTTGCCTGCATGTGTATATGTGCACCATGTGCTTGCAATGACCATGGAGACCAGAAAAGGGCATCAGATTCCCTGGAACTGGAGTTACAGATGGTGGTTATTGGCCATGTGGGTATTGGGAACCGAACCTGGATCCTCTGTAAGGACAGCCAGTGTTCTTAACAACTGAGCCACCTCTCCAGCCCCATGCCAATGACATCTTTATAAATGGACCTGAGATTATAGCTTGTCTTTGTTTTTCCATGAAGAAGTGTGATGAACCTATCCTTGTATCCCGTCCCTGAAAGGTAGAGTCAGCGAGCAGCAACTGCTATTGTCAGTAAACACCTGTAGCCTAGAGAGAATCCATTTTGGAAGACGATTGGCAACAGAGACTGTAATAGTGACTAATAAAGACATCATGATGAACAAATCTGTGGGATCATGTATAAAGTCAAAGGAACTATTAATCTGATTAATCTAACAAACTATCATAAATAGCTCACCGTAAGACACAGCGATGGGCTAGTTTTTAGGATTAGATCTTATAATCTTGGGCCATGATAATAGCAATACATTTACAGTTCCAGTTTAATCTTTTTGTCTGATAGCACCTTGGGAATCAGGGATACTGTGGGGTTTGCCTTATACCCCAAGCCAGTGATCACAGACACTAAATACATATCACAAATCTGCATTCTATATATTATCGTCTAGAAATTTATCTTTAAAAAATGTTATTTGCGATTGTTGTTGACTTTAGCAGTTTACATCACCAACAGTCACTTTTAGCGTAAATACATTCTGCTTCGTATCCTTGTATGTTAATTGACTTCTTATCAATTCAATCCATGAACCCTTGCTTCAAATAAACTACAATGAGAAAGAGAAAACAGTTTATTAGTGTCAATCTACTTTATTCCTTTTGTAGACATGAGAAAAAAAGGATCTGCTAGTGGCTAAGTGAATTCATGACCATAAGCTAATATTTTCTTACTTGAAATTTATGTATTTTTTAAAGCAATATTTCACTTTCAATAACTTAGAATGATTTATCTTTTTGAAGCCTAGAAAAATGGTAATAAATGGTTTTTCTAAGTAGGAGTAGTATAGATAGAGTTGACTTCTGATCTTCTTCAAGTTTAATCTGCCTGCAGAGCTGGGGTTTGGGGTTATAGATATGTAAAATAGGCTGGTGCCATACCTAAGGGACTAGAATCCTGGCTGGGTAGTTTGATATGTGGTTAAATTTGAGTAAATTATTTAATGTCCCCTTCATCATGACTTCCTTCCTCACCTATATATAAAATGGAAAACAACAATCTCTAAGGTCGGTGAGGATAAAATAAGTAAAATAATTGCAAACCATTGGAAACTTTATATAGTATATCATATGTACTTTCTAAGTGTACGTTCCAGCTTGTTTCTCCATTACTGTGACAAAACACTCTGACCACTACCAACTTGGGGAGGAAACGGTTTATTTGTCTGACATCTCCCAGGTCACAGTTCATCCAAAGTAGGAACTCAGGGCAGAAACCTGGAGGCAGGAGCTGGAGCACAGGCCATGGAGGAATGCTGCTTACTGGCTTGCTCCCCTAGCCTGTGGGCTGGGCCCTCCCACATCACTCAACAGTCAAGAAAATGCCCCACAGACATGGCCACAGGCCAGTCCAGTGGAGGCAATTCCCCAATTTGGGCTCCCTCAACCCAGGTGTGTCAAGTTGACACTAAAGCTACCCAGCATAGTGTACATTTTATAAAAATTTACAAATATTTAGTGTGTGTATGTGTGTGTGTATGTGTGTGTATGTGTGTTTGTGTGTGTGTGTGTGTGTGTGTGTGTATGTGTGTTTATGGGGAGGCATGCACATGCCATGGTGCATGTGTTGAGGTCAGGAGATAACTTGTGGAAGGTGGTTCACTTCTTCCATCATGTAGGTCCTGAGGATTAAACTCAAAGTGTCAGGCTTGGCTGCAAGCACCTTTACGTGCTGATCTATCTTGCTGGCCCATGAACACTCCTTTTGTATATAGGACACAAATCGGTGTTCACAGCTTCAAAAAGTGACATTAGAGTCCTAGTCCTTGTGAGGAACTCTGCAGGCTCTTTTTTCCCCCTCTCACAATCTTCCATCTGGAGGGGCAATCACAGTGCAGTGGAATAGGTAAACAAAAGCCCCAGTGTGCCATCTTAAGCCAGTGGCATTTTAGCCCAGGATCTCCTTAGTCAGGCAGTGTAGGAAAGGCACCATGCAGTCATAACCTGAACAACAAGGTGAGGATAAAATTTTGAACCAATCAGTGGAGCGGTGCTCCACAAAACTGAAAGGTAGACAGTGTGGCCTGAAGAACAGCAGCACAATGACCATGGATGGTATGGTGTGAGGTCAAGAGGGGTCTTTATGGGTGCCTCTGGAGGACTTCCAGGTAAGCGTGGAGCCTGGAGGTGGGTAGGATTTGATTTTCTTCATGGTCTGGGGTGTGTTCTTATTTACTTTGAGGCCATGTGGAAAATTATTGGTTAAGCAACAGAGGATGATATCTCCTTTTTCTCAGTCAAGGAATAAATGTAATTTAAACTACTGGTCACAAAATTCTGAACATTTTAATGTTTGCCTTTTTAAAAATATTTTTATTATTTTTATTTTATGTTTATGAGTGTTATGCCTGCATGTAGGTAAGTGCACCCATGTCGTGCAATGCCCACGGAGGACAGAAGAGACTATGAGATCCCTTGGAACTGGAGCCATGGACAGTTGTTAGCTGCCATGTGGGTGCTGGGATTTGAACCCAGGTCTTCTGCAAGAACAGCCAGTGTTCTTAACTGCTCTGCTGAGCCATCTTTCCAGCCCCATGTTTTCTTCTTATAGCTCTCCATTGTCTTAATTTTTGTATATTTTATTGAAACAAATGATTGATAAACATGATCTTCTTTTGACGAGATTCTATAATAGTAAGTCGTTCCTCAAAGTAAAACATCACTGAAGTATTTAGAATCAGAAAAAATATGCCTTATTTATAATATTCTGGGAGAGGGAAATTCCATAGACTTTTTTGATGATTTTCTTTTAAATATATAAACCATCTGGAAAATTCTCTTATGTCTTGTTCTTGGCTAAAATTTAATTTCATTCTTATTTATTCAGCTCAGTGAAAAAGAAC